AGGTGACTACCATATGCTTTCTCACAGTTTCGAAAGGATGATCCGAGACCGAAGCTCTTGTAGGTTTCCATTTAGAGAGAGCTACAGAGAGAAGAAAAAATCAAAAAAAAACTACAGAGAGTTTGATTATGTTTGGTCTTCTGTGAGTATTCTATTGTATATGGCATACTTGACAAGATCTGTTATGACGTAGAGTATAGTTCCACTAAAAGATGTCACCACAAAAANAGCAGGTATGTCGGAAGTTTTTTTGGGAGTAAGCGAGGAGGAGGAGAAACGCCGACCTGTTTGTGTTTATTGTCGAGTTAGTTAAGTGTAGAAACATGTGAAAGAGAAAGAGAACATGTTCTTCTCAGTAGTGTTCTACATACGCCTCTATTAGAGGCAAAGCTAATTATACAAGAAGGAACTAAGAGAGGAGTTGTGTAAGGAAGAGATAGAAACGTGAAAGCACAAGGACATGTTCAAGGGGGAAATCAAAGGAGAAGAATGAAGGCGCACAAGTAAAAATGTGTCATTTTTCAGGTCACCAAGTGATTGAATCTTAGGAAAAGAATAATCTTTCACTGATTGAGAGCAATTTATTTATTGGTCTGTTACCTTCACTCCTGGAGAGAAATTTTTGCCGCCACGAGCACGACCAAACTGAATTTGAAGTCACCAAATCAAAATCAAACCTTTGGGAACTCCAAAATTGAGACCTTTACACATGTGAAATTCTTGGCTATTACCTTCGAAATAAGGGATTTGATCATCGTCTTCCTCTGCGTCAAAAATATTATGGTTTTGACGCAAATTCGACGTGATCGTTTGCGACGTGATTGCGTGAGTTCTTGTAGCGAGGAGATTGCGCTACCAAACATAGCAAGGTTTTTGCGTCGATTTTGCATACATTTTTATTGCGGGGAATTTGCGAGTTCTTTTGTTTGCGTGAGTTTTGCGTCTGTTCTGTTTTTGCAACGTTTTTGCGTCATTTTATTTTGCGATGTATTGGCGTCAATTTATTTTGCTACGTATTTGCGTCGATTTGTCTTGCTACGTATTTGCGTCGACTTGTTTTGCGAGGAATTTGTGTCGATTTTCTTTTCAGAGATTTGCGAGAGTTTAGCAGCTAAATATTTG